CCCCAAAACCCCAAAACCCCAAAACCCCAAAACCCCAAAACCCCAATCAATAACCCAAACTGAAACCATTATGACCATCGGGTCAACCTAAGAAGCTAAAAGTAGGCCAAAGTGGTGCCCCGAAGGAAATTAAGGGAGGAAGGATTTTATTGGCTTTTGGGATTTTGTATGGAATAGGATTTTTGAGCTAGGAGGATTCTCTTCGGGATGTGTAGTCTTTGGAAAGTTTTAGGGGGTGAGGAGGGGATGGAGGTTTGGATTTTGAGGGAGGGGAGTATTCGGTAGAGGTTTTGGAAAGGGTGAAGGAATTGTTGAGGGGGAAGATAAGAGTGGCATTTTGGAGGGAAGGAGTTCGTGTAGATAAGGGTGGGTGTAAAGGCTTCTAGATGGGGTTTTAGAGGTGGTGAATTGGTAGCCTATGTTTAGAAGATGTGTGATTGGAGTGTTCAGTTTTGTTGAGCAGCCTTATTTCAGCAGGTTTTATTCTTGGTTTAAATTTAGTAAGATCTGTTTCTTCAATTAACATATCCCATTCTGTCAATGATTCCACTTCTTTCTGGCTTTGAGAGTTTGTTTTAACTTTCTTAAATCTAAGAAATAAAAGATTAGAAATATAAAAATGAAAGATTGCTCACTTTTTCGTCTTCTTTTTATTTTCCTTCCCATCCCTAAATATTAGTTTCATTTAAATTACCTAAGAGGTTTCATCTTTGAGAGTTTGCGCTTGGTATAAATTCAAGAACTCTCATGTGATCCATATTCTACCTCTACTATCTTTGCTAAATAAGAGCATTAAAACCATTCTAATAAATATCTGATAAAATCCACCACAAACCTCTTCAGATAGACTATATCTCCTCTAACACAACCTCTACTTGACCCCAACCAACCCCCTTCCAAAACCTCCCTCAACCCCTAATTTTTTCCTGCCAACTAAACCCTCTCTATCCTACGCGCCTCTTAAACCCCCTTATTCCTTCCCAGTCTCTTCAGAACCCCCTTTTCCCAAATCTCCTCCTCTGTTAAGCCCAAAATATTTCACTTAAGCTTAAAAAGAAATTTCCAAATTTTCTGCTAAAGCCAAGTCTGAGCTCTGAAGGATTCGAGGTTGTTTTTAAAAATATTTTTTGGGAATTTTGAGGGGGGTTTTGGGGAATTTGAAAAATTTTAAAGTGGAGATTTGGAGTGGATGAGAGGGAGATTGGGAGGAGAAGTGAAGAGGGAGGTTTTGGGGTGGAATTTAAGGGATTTTGGGAATAGTTCGAAGTGACCCGTATAGTCAGAAATTTGAAGGACAAATCTTAGATTTAATCAGAATGATTGGGGTTGTTCGGACTCCTAATGGATTGTTTATGCTATGAATTTTAATTACTCCTTATATTTTTTCACCCTTCACCTTGTAAAAACACTTTCGAAAGATTTCATGATTTTGAGTAAAAATTAGATCAGAAATGTCAGAAAAACTGAATGAATACGAACTCTTTCCGATAGTAGTAAATGTATCAATATAGTTACTAGTGCATTTTTTTAATAGTGTTGAACTCTCATTCGAGTGCAGACCCTTTTATTAACATGGAGGAAGAGTATATTTGAAGATATCTTGTGAGAAACAAGTCGGCCAAAGTCAGCATGCTTTAATGCTCAATATTCATGCAAATTTGTCTTAGGTATGATGAATGAAGGAGCCATAATAAGATAATATCTTAATTCAATACTTTCTTCTGCTTTAGGGGTTTTGGGGTTTTGGGGTTTTGGGGTTTTGGGGTTTTGG